TTCCTCTTCATTTTTGGATAATCCAAAATTCTGTAACGATTGCTAATTGATAATCATTGTAAGAGATGGGTTAAAAATATCTAAAGTCAGCGAGTTGTCAGCAAAATTTGTCTATATCTTTTAGTTTCTCAGCTCTATCTAAGGTTGGTTTGGGGGATCAAGATGCAGCTTGAAGGCCTGTCTTATGTTCTATATATATTATCTATATTTATCTGTGGAAGAACTCAATTGCTGAGGATGGAGAGGATAGATATCTATTTTTGAGAGAAACTGACATAAATTAGATAATTGCTGATATTATAAAGTATTTCGATCACATGGAGGCTGAGGCATCTGTCTATCTCTAATATCTATATATGATGTTTTTTTAGTTTCTTTCCATGAATTAAAGCATAGTACAACTGATTGGTGCATTATTGGAATAAAGTCATCATATTTTGTTATACTGAAAGCTTGACTTTGAAAGTTCTTCCTTTTTTAAAAAACGAATCTGCAAGTTGTAAAGCGCTCTGATAGTAAATTGTTGCTTGACACGTATTTGCAGCTGCTGATAATAAGTGTAAATTGTTGCTTTGACGTATTTGCAGCTGCTGATAATAAGTGTATTTTGGAAATCAAGTTCCCAGTAGGAAATGTTCTGCTTCGTGGCAGAAATCTTATATGGAGATAAGAAGAATAGAGCTCCAAAAGCTATTGTGGTGAGTCTAATATTTGTGATATGCCCTCGAAACTTCCGTTGAAGTTTGATGTGTTCAAGCAATATGGATTTTTCTTTAAAATTTTTTAAACAAAATTACCACTGGTAAGATTCTTCTGATCGTCAATATGGCATGCAATTGTCTTTGTCGAATGCATTAGTTCCCTATTTCTAGGTCATATTGTAATGTTATATCCCATGTTTTTGTGGGCACCAACCCTGTGCTTTCGATGAAGTATTTTTAGATATCTACGAATCATATCTAAACTACGTGCAGACATAAGAATGATATCCGTGGTATGATTTTTGCTGCCAGTTGATCAAACTCCTACATTCTGCTTCATGTGAAAATGAGCAATAGCTTGTTTGGTACTAGATAATGGACATATAAAATATAATGTAATGTAGGCTCCGTTTGTTTCCGTAAAATAATTTGCAGGAAAATATTTTCTATAATTTTCTGTTATTTGGGGTACTTAGGAAAATATTACAGCCAAACAACGGAAAATATTACAACCAAAATATTGCTTAGGGAAATATTTTTAACTAATTTTCAATATTACAACCAAACAACGGTAAATAAGTTATTTGAAAAATTATTTTCAGCAAGTTATTTTCCTGCAAGTTATTTTATGGAAACATATGGAGCCGTAATCAAAAGTGTTGTTTGCATTAGATTCTATTACAATGTACCAAATATAGTTTACCATGTGTTGGGTTAGCTTGTTATGAGAAATTGAGGTCACCAAACAAGGAATTTATGGAGGGCTGAGAAGAAAACTCAGATATAATTTGAAGTTGAACTAATAGCAACCAGCAATGGCAAGGTAACAAAAGCATTAGACTTCATATCCTCCCCTTCCTTTTTGTTTTAATGTTAAGTGGCTTGTACAGTTCTTGAAGCAAGAGTTGAATACTTGTTCTTGATGTTTCTTCGTCTTCTTCTTCTTTAGAAAAGAAGAGCACAAAAGAAAAGGAAAGAAAAGATGAAGTTCTCTTAATTGATAATGAAGTTGCTAGTCATAGTGATGTTTATTGGTATTGGATTGATCTCATCATTTTCTCTTCAAGTTGAAGCTGAACAATTTGTTTGGCAAAAGGGAAAGAAAGAGAAATTTGGGAATCAGGCACCTATAAAAGATGAACATTCTGGAAGAACTAGAAACTTTGCCAATGAAGATATGGAGGGAAACCATATGATAACAAATTGGAGAATATACAGAAACCAAGATGAACATTCTGGAAGAACTAGAAACTTTGCCAATGAAGATATGGAGGGAAACCATATGATAACAAATTGGAGAATATACAGAAACCTGCTTGCTGGTTCAAAGAAGGATGTGCCGATGATTAAATGTACTCAAAGTCTTCATCTTTATCCAGTCGCAGTAGAATTGATGGGCATGGGTAATTCTTTGGTGAATTTGGTTTAAATCAAATCAAATCAAATCCACACAAACTCTATGCAGGTTTTAATTATATTTGAATAGATTTAAATTTAGTTTTCAGATTTAATAGAAAGACTTTGATTCAGCAATAAAGTTTTTTTTCTAATAATAATTTTAATATGATACTATTAATTTAGATTAATCATTAATCTGTATTCAAGTACAATATATGAAAAATTCATGTATTTAAAAATTGTAGAGTATACAATTTTTTTATACGAACAAAAAAGGATATTTTTTTTATCAACTTTCACACATTGAAACTAAATATATTTTTAAAATGATTAAAATATATTTCGAGTATTTCATATTTTTCAGAAAATGTATTTTCATATTTGTGCCTAATGATTAAAAAAATCCATTTTTTTTTTTTTTTTAAATTTACGTAAAAACAATGTTTGTTTTATTTGGTCCCCTAAATTTTTGAAAAATAATTTTTGCCTTCTAAGTTTTATTTTTAGCACCGCCACTATATTTGTCATATAGTAATAATGACAATAATTGTGGAGGTCATTGCTGGATTGACTAATGAAAAAGTGAAAACAGTGCTTATGGCAATGGCAGCTTCCTCGAAATAAAAAGTGAAAACAGTGCTTATGGCAATGGCAGCTTCCTCGAAATTGTTTATTCAACAGTAAAAATCTATTGATCTTTCTAAAAAATAATAAAAAAAATTATATATTGATGCCTATATAATGTGAATATTTCAGTATAATCTTCATAAGCTTTGTGGGAAGCAAGAAAGCAAGCAGCAATATCAATATTTTTCATGATCATGGAGAGGTAATTCTTCTATTTTTAACATTTTCAATTTTTGGTTTTATTTTCTTATACAGGCCATCTTGTCATTTAATATTGTTTGTGCAGTTTGATGAAGAAGTTGCTACTGTTGGTGATGTTTATCGTAGTTGTTGGATCAATTACACTTTCTCTGGAGGTTGCAGTTGCAGGGAAGGATCTTGAAGATGGAAGGAAAGGGAAATTTGGGAATCTTCATGCAACACTTGCAGAGTATAAAAACAAAAAAATGGTTTTCAGTTCAGAAAATATGGTTGAAGAGAGAATGCCAAGAGGTAGAGTACCTCCGTCAGGTGCAAGCCCATGTACACACATTCCTGGAGGTTCTGGTCACTGTATCCATGGTTGACTAAGTAGTGTTTGAAGGACGTGTTTGGCTTGTGTACAATTAATAATAATCTGATCACTGTATCAGTTGTTAATTTATCTATGCCTAGTCTATGCCGCATTCTGTTCGAACTAGATTAATGAAAATAATTTTTTTTTCCTTTAGGAACGGGAGTATTTCTAAACATTCGTTGAAAAAGATAATAAAGTTAAAACAATTTTTTTACAAAATAATTAGTTTTTGACTTAATATTAAATTTAAAAAAAAAAATTGTAAAATTGCAAGCATGAATCTCTTTTGAGGTCTAATTAACATAAAAAAAAAAAAAAAAACATAAAAAAAAAAAAAACTTTCCTTAAAAAAAAAAAAAACTTTCCTTAAAAGCTGAAGGAAATTAAGTAGCACATCCATAGATCATGCATGGGAAGGTAATTATGTCATCTTTTCTTAAATCAAAAATTTTTTTTTCTTACTATTCTATGTACAAATAAAAAGTTGTCCAGTAGCTATAAATTATAGCATTAGCAAGTATAACAGTACCAGGCAATTGATGAATGAACTTGCAGGATGAAAATCACAAATTTTTTCACTGTTTAAAAAATAAGGATAAAAATATTCAAAAAAGAAAAAGGATAAATGCTCTGTTAAACTTTTGTTTCAAAATGACACGCTTTCAAATTATAATTATTATTATTATTATTATTATCATTTTAGGTCAGAAATAGGGTAAATTACAAAGTTATAGTAATAATTCATGCTCCATTGAATAATTATCAGAGGGGATGTAGCTCAAATGGTAGAGCGTTCTCAGCTTACAAAGCGAGAGGCGGCATGGTGTTCGATACCCGCATACCCAAGTCACATTTTTTTGCTAATTTAGTTTTTAAAAAATTTTTTGGCTATAAGACTACAAACGACATGGAAAAACATAGTAAGAAACTTAGATTATCTGATAATGTAGTAATTTTCATAATGTGAAATTGTGAATTAATGGTCAGAAAAAAGGAGAAAAATATTATGCATGCTATAACAAGCAAAGCAACCCATAAAAGGAGAGAATATACCGTATAACATGCATCTAATAACTCTTTTAATTAACAAATTACTCCAGAGATGGTAGAATTTGTTTTTCAAATCAGACTTAGTGTTTATCATTTATATAACAAAGTTGATTTAGACCTTTTCATTCATGCTAAACCATCGGTAGTAATAATGATAATACTAATATACTTCCAACTTTCGTTCTTAATTACTATATTTGATTTGTCATATGGTTCTTAATTACTATATTTGATTTGTCATATGTTAATAAATAAGTATTGGGATGAATAGTTCAATACTCTTTCTTCTTTAAGTGAGTTCAATGGTTTAATTGTAGTTGGAGCAAATATTCGAAGGACTTTGATTTTATCATAATTTTCCGTTATTGCCGTGTAATTTGAGTAAAAAAAACATATGATGATATTAAAGTTAAATCTACACTTATGGAGAAAATTTCCCGTCATTGTGGAAAAAATTTTACATTGGTGACATTCCAACTCAGATATCCACTCAGAAATTAGTGGAAGCATGCCAAAAGTTGGATTGTCCTTCGTACCATCGACTGATAAAGCAAAATGTATTAATTTTTCAGACTAAATTATTTTAACCTCCATGGCTCTACTCTACTCCCAAGTCTTTTTAAGTGCTAGGTTTCATTTCCTCGCAACCAAGTCTTTTTAAGTGCTAGGTTTCATTTCCTCGCAATTCACATCAGGGTAAATTATTTTTCTGACAATATATAGATACAGTCTTAACTGTTCATTGTTGTGCAGTTTGAGAATGAAGTTGGTAGTGTTGGTGATGATTGTTGTTGGATTAATCATATTTAGTGTTGAAGCTGAAGGAAGGAAAGAACAAATTAGCAGTTGGAAAACTATCAAATTTGTTATTATATCTAATAGGAAGTCAATTACCCAGAGTCAATACGATCTATATTTTAATTTAGTTGATTGAGCATTATTGTGGCGACTGGAGAAAATTTACATTGATACAGAAATTAGTGGAAGATTGCAAAAATGATTATTTTAATTTAGCCTTCAGGATTGACTTGGACTAATTAAGCAAAGAAAAGATGTTTTTAAGTACTAAGTAATTACTTTCCTTGAAAATGCATTTTGAAAAAAAGATGTCACTCCAAGTATTTAAGTACTAGACTTCGTTATCTCTACCTTCATCAGGTTATTTTCAAAACATCAAGGCAAAAGCATCAACATAGATACAGAAATTATCATGAAGAGGTAATTCTTATTTTCTTTGCTGCAAATTTATCTGCTTTATTTTGCTGTTATGTTTGACATAATTTTGTTCTATTTCCCTAATTAATTGAAGTTATACAATTTGTTGTGCAGTTTGAACATGAAGCTGGTAATCCTAGTCTTGATTGTGTTGCTGCAGGAAGTTATACAATTTGTTGTGCAGTTTGAACATGAAGCTGGTAATCCTAGTCTTGATTGTTGTTGGATCAATCTCATTCTGCGTTGAAGCTCAAGGAAGAAAAGAAAAAATTAGCTATTGGGGCACTAGCAGAATGCTATATGAAGAGGGAAAAAAACACATCATGGTAAAGTTGAAAAAAGATGAAAACTTGCTACTTGGTTTGAGGCCAAAGAGACTTGTGCGTGCTAAATCTGGTGCCTCCGTTAGTATCTCTATACCCGGCGGACATGGTTGATTATGTATTCGAGAGAACAAGAAGAAGAAGAAGAAGAAGAAGATAGGGAAGCTTGTATTCAAATTTTTTGAGATTTATTTCTCAAAAAAAATTATAAATTTCCTAAATATTAATGAAATAAGAATGTTTTATGCTTTATTTAATAATTATTTTTGTTTAAAATATATAATATGTTTGAGTATAGGTATATTTAATGTTTGGTATAAGGTGGAAGAGAAAAATCTTTTTGTTTGAGGAAAACTTCATATCACGTCACACTAAAAACACTGCTCAGATTAACAAATACAAAAGTTATCTTTTTTTTTTATTTTTTTTTTTTTTTTGAAAAATAAAGATTTATGTAAAACTCTCTGCAGGACCTGTCCAAAATTCACAGATGGCTAATCCTTGACCTGTTGTGCGGTGCCCACTCAAGTGGGACCCACAATAAATTTGAAAAGAAAAAAAAGAAAGGGAAAAAACGTGTTATTTGTAAAGTCAAATAGTTGGCAGAAGGTTGGCAACCAACTATTATCTAAGTGGAGAGCTGTGTGTAACTTACACACGTTTCTCACATTACCTCTCCTATTTATAGGAGAGGATTTGCCTCAGTTAAAATACACACAGAAGAAAGAAGAGAGAAAATGTAGCAAGCGGGTTTTTCTAGTTTTAGGAAGGGTTTCCTAAAACTAGGGGAGAGAAAAATAGTGAGGAAATATTATGGAGTGTTTTTGGGAAACACTTTGTTGCCACTATTTTTTGTATTACTTTCTTTGTGTGACCATACTATTTTTAATAGTGGAAGAATGATTAGGAGTTTGTCCCGTGGATGTAGCCTTAAAACAGTTGAGAGTGAACCACGTAAATTTCTGTGTGTCCCATTTCTATTTTTCGCTGCGTTAATTTTCTCTTAATTGGTCGAAAGGGCCCAACGAGTGGTATCAAAGCTGATGCCTAACAACTGGTATCAGAGCTGATTCCTAACATGACCAACTGTTTTCACCGGGTGATAATTTTGGTTTTGTAAATTCCTATTAATCACAAATTTGGATTTTAATTGACAATTTATTAGTATGTAAATGATTCAAATTCTTAACCACACTACTAAATAAATAAATTATATTCGAAGAATTAGTTTAGAATTATAAAAGCATAGGAGTTTATCACAAAAAGCATTAAGGGTTCATTTGCATTAGTTGTTAATACTAGATGGTAACTGGTGGCTGATAGCTCATTAGTGATAAAGGTGTTTGATAAAATTTTATTAATCGTTGAACACAAGGTATGTAGCACCTTTAAAATTTGATAGGGACCATTTTACGTCCTTTATGATTATCCCTTGCACAAATACTGAGAAGTCGGCTCAATAGACTTTGAATATCAGATGGTTCCATAAAAAAGAAAAAGGAGAATACAATTTATAGGGAGACATATATAGCATTAGCAAGACACCCTATTTACTATGCATAGATAAGAAAAGGGTATGAAATTTGTTTTATTTATTATTTACTTTGTCAAAATTTTTATTTTTTCATGTAATTGCTTTTATATATTTTTATTTTTTTAATGTAATTGCTTTTCTATAACACATATTTTTTAATTTTTTAAGGTGAATGTATTTTTTATTTGAATGTATTATATAAATCATATTAAACTTTTTAAAATTATATTTAATAGAAAATTATTTTTAATTTTTAAGCGTGAAATGTATTTTTCTATTGAATGTTATTATATTTATATTGTAAACTTTTTTGAATGTATTATATAAATCATATTAAACTTTTTAAAATTATATTTAATAGAAAATTATTATTTTTTAAAACAACTACAAGTAAAATGATTAAAAGATATTAATTTGAAAAAAATAATTTTACTAGTAATTATTTTTGTGAGTTTAATGAAGTTTAAATATAATATAAATGCAAAATAAGATATTAAATGATAAGAAAAATTTCTAAAACATAATTGGTGGAATGAATAGCAGTTGATAGCTGATTGAAAAGCTTATCAAACACTTATAATCTACCTATTTTATACAAATCAGTTATTAACTACATTAATCAGCTGAACTAAATGAAACCATAATTTCAAGTAGGATGTTTAGATAGAGTTGCAAGCCAATAATATATAAATAATCGCAGAACCCACTTTTAAAAATAGCTACAAGATAAATATATAAATATAATTTTTGAAATTTAAAAGAAGTAAATGTCGAAAAGAGAAAAAAAAATACAAAATTTATAAGATCCACTTATATATTTATATATTTATTATTAGTTTATCATTGAGGCAAGATGCTCTATATGAAATCTCGGTCGTAATTAGTTTATCATTGAGGCAAGATGCTCTATATGAAATCTCGGTCGTAATTTATAAACTGTCCTTAATTTAAATTCATTGAACTTCTTAATATTTTAAAATAAATTGTCTTTGATTTGAGTTTTAAAAATTAAAAATAAGTAATCAAATCGAACACTCTTTACGCAGCCTTTTCCGCGCTTTCTTTGGTCAAATTTGTAAAAAAAAAAAAAAATACATAAAGTGTGGATATTTGGAGGGTTGACTTGGACCAACAAGACGTGGGTTTAGGGGTGGCTAAATCTAATTTTCGGAACCAAAACCGTTAGTTTCGAACCGGTGAGAATTGGAATTGGAACCCGAATCGGTGGGAATCGGAACCAGCATTGGTCCGAACCGTTAAAAATTGTTAGCTGTTTTAGTAGCTTTTCATGAAACTTTAAAAGTTAAATATTGCATGAGTTAACTTTTCACAAAATGTTATTTTAACCTCTAAAAGTTAGTCCAAATGCTATGTTACCAAACATTTTTTTAAGTAGCGTGACCAGCTAAAATGCTAAAAACTACTTGAAAAGTTACTGCCGAACACAAACATTACGTGTGGTTAGTATAATTTTTAAAATAATAATTATAATATTTTTTTAATTTTTTCATGAATATTTAATCAATTTAATTTTAAAAATAAAGTTTTCGATAGAATAATTTTTTATAAATTTATGATTTGAAGAATAAAATAGATATCTGTAAAATTTAATATATCATTCGCTTTAACGCATAAATTTCTGAAATATTTTTATATATTTGGCCACAATGACTTTTCTTTATACATTATAGCCTAAATTTATATATACTAATCTTGGTATGCTCGCAAGCTACCTATACCGGCAAAGGCAAAACATTCAACAATATCCACAAAAAATGCTGGTGGAGAGGTATTATCTTTTTCCAAAAATGCTGGTTCGGAGAGGTATTATTCTTTTTTTATTTTTGACTTTATTTCTAATTAACACCAAATTTTATTTTTTTTTTTTTCCTTCTAACTATTTGAAACTCACTTTCCACCCATATGCTACGGTGTATTTAAACAGGGTTGATGATGAAGTTTGCTTATATTGGTCATTCTTTTGAATATAATTAGCCGGATCCAATTCTCATTCACTCTCTTCAATCTGATTTCCCGAAAATCGAGAAAAAAAATGAGAACAAATTCATTCCAGATAACTGCAATCACGGAGAACAATTCTTCAATTCAAAAAGATGCATATAGTAGCGAAGCAAGAAGGAGAGCGTTCCGGTGGTGGACCATTCAAAAAGATGCATATAGTAGCGAAGCAAGAAGGAGAGCGTTCCGGTGGTGGACCATTCAAAAAGATGCATATAGTAGCGAAGCAAGAAGGAGAGCGTTCCGGTGGTGGACCAAGTCCTTATACCCCTGTTCCCGGTAGGGAAAGTTGCCCCGATGGTGGACTAAGTCCTTATATCCATAATTTCAAAGAAAAAACAAGTCCTTATACCTATGTTGCCGGTAGCGAAAGTGGTCCCGGCGGCCATGGTTGATTGTTAAGTAATATATAGGAATAAGGAAAGATTGATGTGATAATATAGCTAGAGTATCAAATATTAATTTTTTATATATTGATAGAGTTGAAATTAAATAAAATTGATAGTAATATCATTAATATGACTATTCTTATTACTGACTCAACCCAATCCGATCTAATTATAACTAACTGACGGCCATTTTGTTTTTCTTATAGTGAAATGCTACAACTAATTCTTTTCTTTCTTTGTTTTTTAAAACTGCAACGTATTAATTGACTATAGACTCTAACCTTCTTAAAAAATTTATTTCTCAGATCGCTTATTACTTAGATCAACAAGTTGTTGATGATTCAACAGTGTTTTGTATACTGATATTATTTTTTGGACTCAAGATAAGAAGTAGTAATTGACTAATAACTACAGTTTTGACTCAAGATAAGAATAGTAATTGACTAAATAATAAGTCCACATTTAATTCAAATAAATTCTAAAATATTTTTAAAAACTTTAATTTTACAAAGTTCGTCTAATTAAGCTAAATCATATAGTTCATAAATAAATTTTATAATTTATTTCCATTAACACCAAACAAGGGCTGGTATCAATAGAACCTGCAATTTGGAGAAAACAAAAGACACTGGAAGCTAAGAAATTATTAACCAAGTACTCAAACATACTTGTTTTTTTGAGTATCAGGAGAGAGGGAATTCGAATCTGAATATGTTATCTTGTTATATATGCATTTATTATTAGATTATATCTTGGTGTGTGAGTATCCAAATAGATTAAAAATGGATACAGATATATAAAATTTAAATAAAATTCAGATACAATTAATTTAAATATTTACAGATATCCATACCGCTTCTATGTCTGTGCCCTATCTCGTAATTTGTGCTTGGAATTGAGGCTATGTGATTTTATATCACGTCTCTTCTGATATGATTTCCAATAATTTTGTTTCTTGATAAATACTTTTCTTAACTCTTAGTCCTTAAAATAACAATTTCACTATTAAATGTAAGCACATGCAATGACTTTTATGCTTAAAATGGAAAATCATAAATGTTCCAATTCATAACTAGAGATTTTAGATTTTAATTTGCCAAGAAAAATTGCAAGCTAAAATAGGTCCTACTCAGTAATTTTAGTCTTTTAGGCAAATTTTTCTCCGTCTCTTTCTTTCAAAACTTAATAACTCTGTTCTATTTTTCCACAGGCGCTTACCCGTGAGCTCTCGCTAGTGGTTACTCTTTTTATTTGTTTTTTACAAATAATTCTCTATATACAAATTTGATTTATTGTCACCCAAATATTGAAATTTATTATTGCTCATATCTTGAGATTTTGTTTTCAAATCTAGTTCTCAGTTATTATTATCACCATTATGTGATTTTGTCTAGCGTTTTTCGTTATTTGGATAATTATACAGAAAGAAGTGAGATCGGACTTTTAGAAGGACCATGGAATCGAATAGTGGCCACGAATAACACCAAGTGGAGCGAGCGATCGCTTAGACATAAATATTATACTTTGTCAATTCGATTAGATACTTTAAATCAATATTATATTTTTTTATTCTTTGTATAAATGATTTATTATTAGACTTATTATACAAAAATATAAAAACATATTAATCTTTATGTCATATTTGTATACAATTCCCTATTAATGAAATTTTAGTTTGATTTATTCTCAAAGGTCCTACTCTATTGACTTGGACTAACAAGTCTTTTGATGTTACTCCAACTGTTTTAAATACCAGGCTGCATCACCTGCCTTCCCACATCAAGTTGGAACCAATTAGGCAAAACCATTCACTCATACAGAAATTATCATGAACAGGTAATTTTACTTTTCTTCTGGTTGTTTTTAATGCATTTACATTCTCCAACTCATACCAGAAATTATCGTCATGAAACAAGGAACCAATTAGGCAAAACCATTCACTCATACAGAAATTATCATGAACAGGTAATTTTACTTTTCTTCTGGTTGTTTTTAATGCATTTGCTTTCCCCTCAAAAAAAAAAGCTTTGGAATAGGTAATATAGCAAGTGAATTAAATGTTAAATTTTGAATATTTAATTTATGATGGTGGAATTTGGTTCATTAAATCAATATTTGATTGTCTGATCTACATTTTTAAGACAATCAATTTCACTAAAAATGAGATTGGAGGTGTGTTTTGAAAGTTTTATTAACTAAAAAGATGTAACTCCAAGTATTTAAGTACTAGACTTCATTACCTCTACCTTCATCAAGTTATTTTAAAACCACCAAGACAAAAGCATCAACATAGATACAGAAATTATCATGAAGAGGCAATTCTTATTTTCTTTGCTACAAATTTATCTGCTTTATTTTGCTGTTATGTTTGACATAATTTTGTTCTATTTCCCTAATTAATTGAAGTTATACAATTTGTTGTGCAGTTTGAGCATGAAGCTGCTAATCCTAGTCTTGATTGTCATTGGATCAATCTCATTCTGCGTTGAAGCTCAAGGAAGAAAAGAAAAAATTAGCTATTGGGGCACTAGCAAAATGGTACATGAAGAGGGAAAAAAACACATCATGGTAAAGTTGAAAAAAGATGAAACCTTGCTACTTCGTTTGAAGCCTAAAGGAACTCTGCCTTCTGGTTCTCAAGTTTCCCTTACTATCTCTAGTGCCAACGGTAGTATCTCTAGTCCCGACCGACATGGTTGATTATGTCGTCGAGAGAAGAAGAAGAAGATAGGGAAGCTTGTATTCAAATTTTTTGAGATTTATTTCTCAAAAAATTTATAAATTTCCTAAATATTAATAAAATAAGAACGTTTTATGCTTTATTTAATAATATTTTTTATTTAACATATATAATATGTTTGAGTATGGGGGAAGAGAAATCTTTTTGTTTGGGAAAACTTCATCACGTCACAATTATTTGAAATATATACAATTATTTTGCAAATAATTGCCAAATATAAAATAATTTTTTATTGAACTTCTTAATATTTTAAAATAAATTGTCTTTGATTTGAGTTTTAAAAATTAAAAATAAGTAATCAAATCAAACACTCCTTAGAATCAGCCTTTTCGGCGCTTTCTTTGGTAAAATTTGGAAAAAAAAAATACATACATACATACATAGATACATGTATCTGTCAAGTGTGGATATTTGGAGGGTTGACTTGGACCAACGAGATGTGGATTGTTCACCGAACAATAATTTTTAGAGTTACTGTTTTTTATGTCTAAAATATTGATGTTTGATTTGTTCCACAAAATTAATTATTTTGACAATTGTTAATTGTTTTAGCAACGTTTAGTTATTAGCTGTTTTTAGTAGTTTTTCATAAAAAGTTAAATGTTATATGAATTAACTTTTCACAAAACGGTACCTTAATTTCTAAAAACTAGTTCAAAAGCTATATTACCGAACATTTTTTTTAAGTAGCGTTTAGTGTTTTGACCGATCAAAATTTAAAAGTTATTTAAAAAGTTATTGCCGAACACAAACATTATGTGATATTATGTGTGGGTAGTACAATTTTTAAAATAATAATTACAATAATTTTTAACTTTTTTATAAATATTTAATCGATTTAATTTTACAAAATAAATTTTCGATAGAATAATTTTATAAATTTATGATTTAAAGAATACAATAGATACCTGTAAAATTTAATATGTCATTCGCTTGATCGCATAAACTTCTGAAATATTTTTATATATTTGGCCACAATGACTTTTCTTCAGTCGTTATAGCCTAACTCTATATATACTAATCTTGGTATGCTCGCAAGCTACCTATACTGGCAAAGGCAAAACATTCACCGATATCCACAAAAAATGCTGGTGGAGAGGTATTATCTTTTTATTATTTTTTTTTATCTTAATTAACACCAAATTATTTTTTCTTCCTCCTTCATAATATTTGAAGCTCACTCACCCATACTCGCATGTATTAAACAGGTTGATGATGAAGTTGCTATTTGTAATCTTGATTATAGCTGGATCAATCTCATACTCTCTCCAAATTGATCCCGAAAACAGAAAAATTGAGAAAATTATTCTGACAACTGAATCAGAGGAAATTGTGGATACAAATTTTAGATTCAAGAAGATGCATATAGTAGTGAAGCCAAAAGGAGAGCGTCCGGGTGGTGGACCAAGTCCTTGTACCCATGTTCCCGGTAGAGAAAGTTGTCCCGGCGGCCATGGTTGATTGTAGTGAAGCGAAACGGAGAGAGCGTCCGGGTGACCAAGTCCTTGTACCCATGTTTTCCCGGTAGACGAAAGTGTGCCGGCGGGCCATTGGGTTGATTGTTACAGTATAGATTAGGGAATATGGAAAAGATTCAATTGTAATAATATATGCTAGAAGTATTAATTACTTAATTTCGTTTGGTATTATAGAGTTGAAATTAAATAAAAATTGATTGTAAATATATTAAATACGACTTGTTCTTTTATTGACTCAACCAATCCGATTCTTAATTGATAACTACACTGACGGGCCAATATATTTTTGGCTACATTTTGTTTTTTCTTATAGTGAAATGCTACAATAATTTTCTTTTTTTTTTTTTTTTTTTTTGTTTCTTAAAACTGCAACGTATTAATTGACTTTAAACTCTAACCTTTTTCGGAAGTTTATTTCTCAGAACGCTTACTACTTAGATTAATAACTTGTTCATGATACTGATATTGTTTTGACTCAAGATAAGATTAGTAATTGACTAAATAAGAAGGCCACATTTAAATCAAACAAATTCTGAAAAGGAAGAATTCGAATCTGAATCTATTATCATGTTGTATATACATTTATTATTAAACTCTATTTTAGTGTGTAAGTACTCAAATAGATTAAAAATGTATAAAGATGGATAAAATACAGTTAATTTAAATATTTACATATATACATACCGTCTCTATCTCTGTGCCCTATCTTTTAATTCGTGCTTGGAATTGAGGCTCTGTGATTTTATATCACGTCTCTTTTGATATGACTTTCCAATAATTTTGTTTCTTGATAAATACTTTTCTTAACTCTTAGTCCTTAAAATAACAATTTCACTATCTTTTGATATGACTTTCCAATAATTTTGTTTCTTGATAAATACTTTTCTTAACTCTTAGTCCTTAAAATAACAATTTCACTATCAAATGTGAGCACATGCAGTGACTTTTATGCTTAAAATGGAAGATCATATATGTTCCAATTCATAACTAGAGCTTTCAGATTTTAATTTGCCAAGAAAATTGCAAGCTAAAATAGGTCCTACTGTGTGAAGTTGTCATTTTTCAAACTCAGGCTTGGCTCTGATAAGGTTTATTGACCTTATATTTGGAGGGTTGACTTTGACTAACAAGTCTTTTGATGCTACTCCAAGTGGTTTAAGTACCAATTTGTTTTGAAATCATCAACTTAACACATGTACAGAAATTATCATGAAGATGTATTTCTTATTTTCTTTACCTGAAATTTATCTGCTGTTTCTTTTTTATTTATTATATTTCTAGATAAATTTATGAATAATACATACAATTTGTTATGCAGTTTGATCAGAAAGTTACTAGTTTTGATCTTGATTGTTGTTGGATCGATCTCACATAATTAAATAATTTTAGGCGAAAAAAATAAGAGTAATTGACTAATTTACCTTTTAATTAATTTTCAATTCTTCTAAAAAGTCAAAAATTGTCAAATTTAACCGAACGGATGATCAATAACCTACCGCGAGATTTCCAGGAGAAGTGACAGGTTGCATAAATTTTATCATATGCAGCTTTTCGTTTTTATCAGGGTTAATCAAGTGTACAACTGCCCCTGCAGGAATCTATGGCCAAGTATACGGAGGTTGTCTATGTCCAAGTATTATGCGTACAGATAAGATATCTAGTGGGATTGCCTTGGACATAAACAAGTCTTTTGATTCAATATTAGTCCAAAACTGAAGTGTTTTTTTGGGATCAAAGACTGAGAGTGAAAGAAGAGCTCCTGTATTGGGATTGACCTGGACTTCTTTAAATAGAATTATCATACTTCATTAGCATCAATTTGCTTGGAACCAAAGCAATACAATTCATCATGAACAGGTAATTTTATGTTCTTTTTCTGTTCTTTATAAATTTATGTGGGTTCTAATTTAGAGTGCATTACTATGGAGTACATTACTATGGAGTATTTACTGAATTCTCCCTATGTTTTTATCGAATACATAAGTAAAGACTCTGGTTTTCAAAATTACACAATTTAGTTATTGCATTATAATTCTGTTATATTATAGGTCCAAAGCTTAATTTTCTGTTAACTGGTTGTGAAATATTAAAAATGCTCTTAAAGATAATTATTGTACATGGACTGAATTGTGAAAGATTATGAAAATTTAATTTAACAACAAAATAAAGAATTATTTAATTGATTTATGAGAACATCGAATATTCTAAAAATGTTTTTTAGTCCCTTTTTATTAATAATTCAGTGTTATATGAATTTTAAATATTGTTGTGCAGCTTGATGATCATGAAGTTTGTGTGAATTTTAAATATTGTTGTGCAGCTTGATGATCATGAAGTTTGTGGTCTTAGTCCTGATTGTTGTTGGTTCAGTCTCATTTACTGTTGCATTTGAAGCTAAAGAGTTTGCTTCAAAAGAAGGAAGGAAAGAGAAAATTGGCAATCTAAAGACCAACTCACTTACTTATAAGGGAAACTACAGCATATATTGGCTCCGTGCCCAAATTGCTGTTCCAAAAAGGTTTAGTCGTCGTGGTGGACATGGTTGATTATGTAGAGAGGGAAAAATTTTACCTGGATCGAATCCATGGACCCAGAATAAAGTTTCTTATTGAAACGAGGGTATTTCTGATCATACACCGGGAATACTTTTTAAAGAATTCTTATTGTGATTAGTTCGGTCTATAAGCGTAGCTATAAACTTGGTCTAAGCAAAGTAATTTCTATGCGGAGAGCTTGTCTTCCACTTTTAGTTACTGTATACATAATAAGAGATTTTTCATGTTTTTCTGTTATTTTTCATGTAATTTGTTTAAAAAAATATTGTCATTTTAAATCCTTCAAATTGTTTTAACCAAAATTCTCTTATTAACTAGCGATACTATATAGTATAGTATATATATTATATATATATATATATTATATACTATAATATATAGTATATTATACTATATATATATATATATTATATATTATTTATTTATTTATTTTATATATTTATTTATTTATTTATTTATATAAATGAATTTAGGTAAATATGCACACCAGTGCATTCTTCGAACTCAGGCTTGACTCTGATAAGGTCTATTGACGCATATATGATGCATGAATAGTTCTCAGAAATAATCCTTTCATTTCGAAGAAATCTTCCTCACAAAAAAACACTAGATTAATTCAAAATGTTTTCTTTTGTCCAATTGAAAAACAGAGATTATGCAATTAACATATGCATTGTTGAAATTTGACCTAATTAAATTTAAAAAAATTTAGGCCTAACCCTAGAAATCAATACAAATTATCTATAAACCAAGTTAATTTATTAACACACATGATTATCTTAATGATTAATTAAACGATTGGCTAATATTGAATCAAATAATTAGGTTACATATCCCCTATAACTTAGATCCAAACGCATATCGAAACATAGCCTAGTGATAAGTACATATACGATTTGACAATATATCCAAATTTAAATCTCCATTTCCAATCCAAACTGAAGAATGTCATGGATTCAATTTACAGTCATTGTCAAAATAGGTAAAGCCTCCGTATTTGGAGGCTTGACTTGGACTAATTAACAAGTCTTTTGATGCTACTCCAAGTGGTTTAAGTACCAGACATCAAGTAGGCAAAACCATTCACTCATACAGAAATTAATTATCATGAAGAGGTAATTCTGCTTTTCCTTTTTTCTTTTTTGTCATTAGCTATCATTCACAAATCATGTATATGTTGAATTTAATTTGAAATATATTAAATTTTGTGCTTAATTGCAAAAGACTTTCCTGAATTATGGCCTTCTTTTTTAATTTTAACAAGGAAATTATAATTTCTTTTTTCAATTTCGTACTATAATTTCTTCAATTCTATCATTAGTTGCACGTATACTCGATGAAATTAATTTCGTAGTATTTCTTATTTTCTTTGCCTGAAATTTATCTGCTTCTTCTTTTTTATGTATTATATTTCCATATAAATTTATGAATAATATATACAATTCGTTATGCAGTTTGATCATGAAGTTGCTAGTTTTGGTCTTGATTGTTGTTGCTAGTTTTTCATATAGTGAATGCTACAATTAATTCTTTTCTTTTTTGTTTTTTTAAAACTGAGACGTATTAATTGGCTTTAGACTCTAACCTTTTTAGAAACTATATTTCTCGCTTACTACTTAAATCAACAAATTGTTGATGATACTAATATTGTTTTCGACTCAAGATAAAAATAGTAACTGACTAAATAATAAAGCCACATTTAATTCGAACAAATTCTGAAATATTTTTAAAAAATAAAATTTTACAAAGTTCGTCTAATTAAGCTAAATCATATAGTTTATAAATAAATTTTATAATTTATTTCCATTAACACCAAACAAGGGCTGGTATCAATACAACCTGCAATTTGGAGAAAACAAAAGATATCTAGAAGCTAAGAAATTACTAACCGAGTAGTCAAACATTTTTTTTTTTTAAGTATTTAGGGAATGCAAATTTAAATATAAATCTATCGTGATATCGTATATGTATTTATTATTAAAAAATTATGTCTCGTTGAATAATTGCTCAAATAAATTAAAAATGGATAGAGATCCATAAAATTTGAATAAAATTCAGCTATAATTAATTTAAACATTTACAGATATTTGTGCGGCTTCAATCTATCGTTTAATTCGTTCTTGGAATTGAGGCTCTGTGATTTCATATCACGTCTCTTTTGAAATGACTTTCCAATTAAAATAACAATTTCATTATTAAATGCGAACACATGCAGTGACTTTTATGCTTAAAATGGAAAATCATATATGTTCCAATTCACAGCTAGAGCTTTCAGATTTTAATTTGCCAAGAAAAATTGCAAGCTAAAATAGGTCCTACTCAGTAATTTTGTTCTTCTAGGCAAACTCTTTCTCCTCTCTTTCTACCTAAAGCTAAAAGCTATTTTCTTCCCTTCCACGGGCCGATAGCGGTGAGCTCTCACCGATGGTTTCTCTTTTTTTCTTTTTCTGTTTGATTTATTATCGTCCAAATATTGAGATTTATTGTTGCTCATATCTTGAGATTTTATTTTCAGATCTAGTTCTGAGTTATTGTTATCACCATTATGGTGATTTTGCTCATATCTTGAGATTTTATTTTCAATCTAGTTCGTGAGTTATATTGAGATTTATTGTTGCTCATATCTTGAGATTTTATTTTCAGATCTAGTTCTGAGTTATTGTTATCACCATTATGGTGATTTTGTCTAGCGTCTTTCATTATTTTGATAATTATGCAGAAATAAGTGCAGATCTCCTTTCTAACAGAAAATAAAATTTTGAAGATAATCAGATAGGACATATAAAAAGACCATAGAATCGAACGGTGGCTATGAATAGCAACGAGTGGAGCGAGCGATCGCTTATAAGATAAATATGATACTCTGTCAACTCGATTCAAAACTTTAAATCAATATTGTGTTTTTTTATTTTTTATATAAACGGTTTATTATTAGACTTCCTATTTAAAAATACAGAAACATGATTTGTATCTCATATTTATATAAGGTTCCCTTTTAACAAAATTGTAGTTTAATTTATTCTCAAAGGTCCTACTCTGATGACTTAGACTAACAAGTCTTTTGATGTTACTCCAAGTGGTTTAGGTACCAGGCTTCGTCACCTGCCTTCCCGCATCAAGTTGGAACCAATTAGGCAAAACCATTCACTCATTCAGAAATTATTATGAACAGGTAATTTTACTTTTAATGCATTTGCTTTCCCCTAAAAAAAAAATTAAAAAAAAAAAAAGCTGTGGAATAGGTAATATAGCAAGTGAATTAAATGTAAAATTTTGAATATTTAATTTACGTAAATCAGTTATTAGCTACATGAATCAGCTAAACTAAATGAAACCGTGATTTTATTTAGGATGTTTACATAGAGTTGCTAGGCAATAATAAGGCCACATTTAATTCGAACAAATTCTGAAATATTTTTTAAAAATTAAATTTTACAAAGTTCGTCTAATTAAGCTAAATCATATAGTTTATAAATAAATTTTATAATTTATTTCCATTAACACTAAACAAGGGCTGGTATCAATAGAACCTGCAATTTGGAGAAAACAAAAGATACCTAGAAGCTGAGAAATTACAAACCGAGTACTCAAACGGTTTTTATTATTATTATTATTTGAGGAGCAGAAATTCGAATTTAGATTTATTATCATGTCGTATATATATTTACTATAAGATTATATCTTGGTGTGTGAGACTCAAATAGATTAAAAATAAATACAGATCGATAAAATTTAAATAAAATTTAAATATTTACAGATATCCATATCGCCCCTATCTTTGTGCCCTATCTTTTAATTTGTGCTTGGAATTGAGCCTCTGTGATTTTATATCACGTCTCTTTTGATATGACTTTCCAATAATTTTGTTTCTTGATAAATACTTTTCTTAACTCTTAGTCCTTAAAATAACAATTTCACTATTAAATGTGAGCACGTGCAGTGACTTTTATGCTCAAAATGGAAAATCATATATGTTCCAATTCATAACTAGAGCTTTCAGATTTCAATTTGCCAAGAAAAATTGCAAGCTAAAATAGGTCCTACTCAGTAATTTTGGTCTTCTAGGCAAACTCTTTCTCCCTCTCTTTCTTTTAAAACCTTAAAACTCTCTTCTTTTCTTTCACGGACAGTCACCGGTGAGCTCTCACTGGTGGTTACTCTTTTTCTTTTTTTTTTCTTTGTTTTTTGCAAATAATTTTCAAATCTCTTTACAGATTTGATTTATTGTCCCCAAAATATTGAGATTTACTGTTGCTCATATTTTGAGATTTTGTTTTCAGATATAGTTTTGAGTTATTTTATCACTATTATAGTGATTTTATCTAGCATATTTCGTTATTTGGATAATTATACAGAAAGAAGTGCAGATATCCTCTTTAATGGAGAAAAGAAATTTGAAGGTAATCAGATCGGATTTATAGAAGGATCATGAAGTCGAACAGTGGCCATGAATAGCACCAAGTGGAGCGAGCGATCGCCTATGATATAAATATTATACTCTGTCAACTCGATTAGATATTTTAAATCAATATTGTGTTTTTTTTCTTTGTATAAGTAGTTTATTATTAGACTTTCTATATAAAAATATAGAAACATATTGATCAATTTCATATTTATATACAGTTTTCCTCGAAATTTTAGTTTGATTTATTCTCAAAGTTCCTACTCTGTTGACTTGGACTAACAAGTCTTTTGATGTTACTCCGAGTGGTTTAAGTACGAGGCTTCATCACCTGCCTTCCCACATCAGGTTGGAACCAATTAGGCAAAACCATTCACTCATACAGAAATTATCATGAACAGGTAATTTTACTTTTCTTCTGGTTGTTTTTAATGCATTTGCTTTCCCCTCAAAGAAAAGCTTTGGAATTGGTAATATTGCAAGTGAATTAAATGTAAAATTTTGAATATTTAATTTATGATTGTGGAATTTGGTTCATTAAATTAATATTTTATTGTCTGATCTACATTTTTAAGACAATCAATTTCACTAAAAATGAGATTGGAGGTAAATAAATTGAAAAAAAAAAAAGAATTCTATTTTTTTTTTTACATAATTGCATTTTATTTCCCACTTAAATATATGAATAATATAATTAATTAACGTCTCTAATATATTATAATATGATGAATGAATATTAATTAATTAACGTCTCTAATTAATATATTATTATAATATTATATATTAGTAATATATATATAATATATATACTATATCATTAATGTGATACACTTGTATTTATTATTTAATTGGTAATTGGCATTATATGCAGTTTGGGAATGAAGTGGTTGTGAAACAGTTGAATAAGGAAGATGAGAATATTTGTTCTGTGTTTTAAGAATACAAACTGCTACACTTTAGTTAAATTCAAAATACAAATAACCTGCTGTCCATATAACTAAGGCTGCTGTCCTATAACTAAGGGAAACTATAAACAGAAGAATCAAATATCTACACAAATCACGTTAATTACAATTTGAATATGTCTTCAACTACATCATTTACTTGGACCACGGAACTAATCTCTCAACAGCCCCCCTCAAGCTGAAGACGATAAGGGCACAAGTCGAAGCTTGTCCCGATGTTTCAAAAATAACCGAGACCCCAAAGGTTTGGTCATTATATCAGCAAGCTGGTCCCTTCCTGAAATAAACTTGACTTGAACACGTTTTTGCTGCACCTGCTCCCTAACAAAATGAAAGTCAAGCTCGATATGTTTGGTTCGAGCATGGAAGACAGGATTAGATGTCAAGTAAATTGCACCAATGTTATCACACCATAATGTAGCTGGTGAAACATTATATCCAAGTTCAGATAGTAAAGATAACAACCACATAACTTCAGAAGTAGCATGCGCAATAGAACGATACTCACTTTCGGTGGAGGACCGTGAAACAGTAGATTGTTTCTTAGATGACCATGAAATTAAATTGGTTCCCAAATAAATGGCATAATTGGTTCCCAAATAAATGGCATAACCAGATGTCGATTTACGATCATCAGAGCAGCCGGCCCAATCACTGTCTGAAAAACACTATAAATTAATTGGAGAGGTTCTGGAAAAATAAAGACCCATAGTGGCGGTCCCCTGTAAATAACGCAGTAAGCGTTTGGCAGCAACCCAATGCTCCTGGGTTGGTTGGTGCATGAACTGGGCAAGTTTGTTCACTGTAAATGATACATCAGGCCTGGTGAGTGTAATATATTGCAAGGAACCAACCAAATGTCTATAAGATTCACCGTCAAGCATGAATTCTCCACTATGTTTCGATAACTGAACATTGGTAGCCATGGGAGTAAGAGTAGGCTTGCTATCAGACATATTAAATTGATGTAATAGATCCCGAATATATTTCTGTTGGGATAAAACAATACCATCTGGTGTTGGAAGAACTTCAATACCCAAAAAATAATGTAGACTGCCAAGGTCCTTAACAGGAAAAGCTTGTTGTAAGGACTGAAGAAAAGTGTTGAGCTTGCTAGAGTCTGAGCATGTGAGCAAAATATCATCCACATAAATTAAGATAAAGCAATATATATTACCCTCTTTATAAATGAATAAGGAAGTATCAGCTTTGGAAGCGTGAAAACCAAGCTGAAGCAGAAAATTGCTCAATCTTTGAAACCACGCTCGCGGAGTATCAGCCTCTTGGAAACGCGTGAAAACCAAGCTGAAGCAGAAAATTGCTCAATCTTGATTATCCACGCCTCGCGGAGGCCTTGCCGGATGCCATTACAAAGATTTTCTGGAGCTTGGCACACATAAATCAGGTACATGAGCGTAACATGCAAGCGAACTCCACGTCACATAATCAGGATGAGCTGAATCAATAAAGCCAGATGGTTGAGCCATATATATGTCTTCTTCAAGATATCCATGCAAGAATGCATTGGATATATCCAGTTGCCGAACCTGCCATTTGGAAACAATAGCAATAGACAACACAGTTCGAATTGTTGTGGCCTTAACCACTGGACTGAAGGTCTCATTGTAATCTACACCAGGTTGTTGAGAGAACCCCTTTGCAACCAATCGTGCCTTGTAGCGCTCAATATCTCCATTGGCTTTCCGTTTTATTCGAAACAACCATTTGTTACCAATAATGTTTGTATTAGGGGGACAAGGAACTAGCTGCCATGTTTGGTTTTGTAGGAGAGCCATTTTCACTTTCCATAGCACTGCCGCCATTGGAGATGCAGGTTTGACGCTTAAAGATATAGTTTTAGGCTCATTGTTGTCATATAATCCAGTTTAACAGTTAGAAATTTAAAGCTTGACGTTTCTTGCCTATGAGTTGAATCACGCAATTGCCATTGGGATGAGTGCAAGAGGTGGTTGTGGTGGGAAGTAGAGGAGAAGATCAACAACAAATCATTGCTGATTGAGGGTTATGAGGAGAGATCAACAACAAGATCAATTGCTAATTGGGGGTTATAAGGAACAATTTGGTTGTTTGAAGAAGCAGGTGATGGCAAAATATTGTTGTTTGCTGGTGTAGATAATGAGTCATGGGTGGATTCACTGTTTGTTGAAGGTTGGGATTCTGTAGAAGGTATTGTATTAGATAAGATCATACCTGATGAGTCATCCGGAGGATCCAAGTGATGAGGTATCTGATTTGAAATTGACAGCCACGGTGTAGGAGGACTAGAAGGACTCTCATTGATGATAAAGTAGACCCAAGAAACCTAGAGACATCAAACTTTACATGCCGAGCTAAATAGACACGTTTGGACAAAGGGTCAAGACAACGATGAGCATAATGGGACGGACTGGTTCCTAAATAGATACAAGGAATTGGCCGAAAAGAAAATTTATGGTGAGAGTATGGTCTAAGAAATGGATATATTGTGCATCCAAAAGGGTGTTGAGCAAGATAATTGGGTGGGCATTTATATAAACAAAGAAAAGGACTTTTGTTTTGAAGAACTGGTGATGGCATAATATTGATAGAATTAACACTATGTTCAGCTGCATAATTCCAATATCTTAAAGGGAGTTTAGCATGAGAAAGAAATGTAAGAGTGGTGTCATGACATAACGAATTTTTCTTTCTGCGGTTCCATTTTGCTCATGGGTGTATGGACATGCTATCCTGTGAATTATGCCAGTTTGTTGGAAGTATTTATTTAATTTTTGGTACTCTCCGCCCCAATCAGAATGAAAAGCCAAAATTTTTGATTGAAATTGACGTTCAATAAGAGATTCAAATTGACGAAACATTGCATAAACAACGAAAACCATTGCATAAACTCACTTTTTATTTTTTTAAACAAATAGAAGCCAAGTGAATCTGGTAAAAAGTCGTCGAATGAACAGATAAAACATACTTATGGCCTAAACTAGAGACAGATAGGAGCAGGGCCCCCAGACATCGGAGTGGGGGGAAAAATTAATTTTGAAAGGGGACCCGTGCTCTTGTGTTCTACAGAAGCCTAAGGAGAGTCTAGATAATTTTCCTAAATTGTGGCAAGCAGAAGCATGGATTCAATGAAAGCGTTGAACAAGGGGGTATTGAGAATCTCTTTTATTGATTTTGGACAGCCAGTCCGACGATGAGGAATGACGCCAAGGCTGAATGCCAATCTGAAAAGGTAATGGGACAAGTTGCTGTGAAGGCGGATTTTGGTGGTGATTTCGATGGTATAGATAGCCGATCTTCACTTGGACCTGCAGAAGAATCTCCGGGTGAACTGATCCTTAGAACAGAAAAAAACAATGAGGCCAGAATTCAGAAAAAAAACAATTGTTGTCAGTTGGTAAAATTTCCTGAAGCGAGACAAAAGATTTTTGATGATTTTAGGAACACAAGTGGGGTAATTGTTTTAAACAAGAGGCCCAGTAGGAGGGGAATGTGACGTACCAGTAGATGAGAAAATTGGTAGAACCTACGGCCAGTTTCCGAACATGGAGATGTTGCATTACCCTATATTCCGGTGCAGGACTTCAGAGATTGGAATGTGCAGTAGGAGTAGACAATGATAATTGGCTGGCAGTCATCAGGGTGCCAAATAATTTTGTGGAAGTGAAGCAGATGAAGTAATTTGCCAATGGTGGAGGGGGAAGGAAAATATGCAGGTGTGGGGATATGGTGATGGATTAAGGGAGGGTTTGGATGGTGGTGGACAATTATAAGAATAGATTTGGCCACGAAGGGACAGAGTAACGAGGATGATTTTTGAGTTGTTGAATGAAGGTTGGTGAAGCGACGGCGACATTATATCTGCAGTATGGTTTCCGGTATCGCCACAATTTGGCATGGGCCTTTGTGGATTTTGAAGTTGAAGTTTCGTTGTTCCATGGAGAATTGGGGTGTGGGAAGGAAGGTGGGGTGGGAATAGGATTATTGGTGGGATTGCCGAGAAACCGATATTGGCTTTGTGGTGGATCATGCAACTGTTTAGAAGAATTTCAGTGAAGCAGTAAGTTTTCACCATGGAGCTCATGGAATGAAACTGTGATCGGGTCTAAAGTTCAAAGGCAGTGATGATATTGAATGATAAGTTCAATAAATACCAAATATTTCTATAGATGAATGGCATTGAATTCGGGCAGCAGAGAGAGGTCGGCCGGCTGCTTGCAACTCATCTTTGGAGTGCTTTTTGCTCGGTTGAAGATAAGCAGAAATGGGACCAGATTCATTTTTTCTTGACTCCTGGAGTTCAAGTGATGATTTGGAGTTGGACGATTCTTGAGAGATGGAACCGAAAGCCTATGCTAAGCGCTTGCCAACAAGGCAATGGGAGGAAGCTTAGCCCAATAACTTGAGAGAAAACATCTTTCAGATAGGGAAGAATGGAAGCCAAGAATGAGAAGCTGGTCGCTGTTTTGAACCATGTAAACATATAAAGGGTTGGGAATATGCCAGTTAGTTGGTTCTGTTGTTTGAGATTTAATTGTTTTTTAGGAGGTGGGGA